AGGAACAGTCATATCGCGCGCGCCGATCGCGTCGGTTTTCCTCGCTCATCGGAGCTGCGGCGAGTTCATCTTCGGTGGTTGCTCGTCGATCACCAGGTCGTTCCTCCGGTCGCTGCGGAGAACGTCGGGTGGTCACCGACGGTGGCCTCGTCGTGGCGCGTAGTCTGACCGATCTCTCGACGAATCGGCGCTACCACTACGGTCCACCGACGGAGGAGGCGGAAGAGGCGACGGTGGCGAGGATCAGGCTCGACGGCGGCAGCGTCATCACCGTTCGCCGTTGCAGCGACGTCAGCTTGAGCAAATCGGGGGCGGTCGCGTGGGCCGATCTGAGGTGCCTGCGGAGATTACTGTTGTTGCTGTAGACACGTGCGCAGAGCGGGCAAAGCCGCGGGGAATCCCAAGTGCCGGCCGGCTCCGCGGCGCCGATCGCCCCGGGTATACTCGATATCGATAACGACGCCGACGGTCCCGCTCCCTCCGCACCGAAGCCGACTGCAACACACCAGCCGACCAATCTAGATTAGTTCCATCCATCCATCCCGTCGTCAGCCAACAATCACTCTCCTCCTCCTTCTCCTCCTCCTCATCATCATCATCATCCTCTCCTCCGCCTCCTCTATTCGCGCTTCTCGCCCGACAACATCTTCTCCGTCTCTCTCTCTCTTTTTCTCTCGCATTCCCGCCGGTCACCGTTACGTAAGATCGTTAGTTAGGACTTATGGTTTATAAGCCGATTTCCGAATCGCAGGGCAATACGGGACAATTGCGGAGCAATTGCAGGACGCGGCGGAATATCTTGAGACATCGTGGCACCGGGAAACCCGCTCCTCTCCGCTTGGGAGATCCTGGCTAGTTGGCGGCGCGCGTCTCAGAGCCGTTCAGATTCCTCCCAGTATGCGTGGTCGCATCTTAGAGAACGGGCTGCGCCTTGCACTTGTCCCTCCGTATCGGAGGGTCGTTCGGTGTGTTAAGACAATCGGGTATGCCTGCGTGAGGGTGTTGAAAAGCATTCGAGTATACATGACAGCGTGAATCATCGAGGATCAATCCAGCCTGCACGCATCCTGCATTTCCCTGTCTTTCTCTCTCTCTCTCTCTCTCTCTTTCTCTTTCTCGTAGAAATAACGTGATGCATTATTACGTACAAATGTGAATTACTTTATTCAAATGTTATCGTTTGACAAAATTTCGGGTACAGAACGAATCGTTACGATGGGATACTGCGCTAAGCCAGGCGAAGAGTCTCTCTCTCGTATTCGCGATTATAACGGGAATTTATTTGTCATTATATAGCCGAGATAGTAATATAGTTCGTAGTGGTCGTCTCTCTCTCTCTCTCTCTCTCTCTCTCTCTCTCTTTCTTTCTGTTTTTTTTTCCCTTTCCCTCTTCGTGACCGGGACGTACGGAAAAACACGAACGTAAAATAGGAACATCGCTATCGCGTTATAATAGGATTACGCTTAGTATCGTATTTGCGGAAATTGCAAGAAAAACCCGGTGTCGATCGAAATACACGACGAATGACAGCCTCTCTCGTCGTCGATAGTAGATCGACATTACAATGAAATATAACGAGGCTCGCGTGTTCTCTCTCTATATGTCGCAAAAATGGGCTGGGTGAGGAGGAAAGCACACTCGATTACAGATCTATGGCTACTTGATGCACCTGTCGCTAGCGAAATTAACACACGTGTATACATGTATACGTTTCTGCGTGCTGCGGCCCGACCTGCCGCGATCCTTCGCAAGCCCTTTCTCCCCCCTTTCTCTCCTTCTTTCTCATCTCTTTCGATTAACCGTTTGTGCATTTTCGGAACAGTCTCTCAGAATGGTAAGAAGTGAGAACGTTTCCCACCCGCGTATAATCGGGCGACGAACGGCGCCGAGACAGTCAAACTGTTTCCGGCTTATTCGAACGAGAGCAACTTTTCCACATTAAGATGAGCGCTCTCGTCTCGAATCGCCCGTCCATTTTCGTTTCATCTTACCAATTATCGGTGAATAAAAAAAAAAGGAAACAATACTCTCGCGTAACGCATGCCGCTTCTCCCATGTGCAAATTGAATGTCTCCTTTAGAATTTCTAACAATTAAAAATTAACGATACGGTGAACCGGCACATATATTACGTTGAAATGTTCCGCGTAAATAAGCAACCATCGGCGAAACCGGCGGAAATGAATTAATTCATCCTAACGCGTAAAATATGGACGGCAAAATACAATACTATTTGTCCACGCGAATATCACATTTGCATCGATCGTTCGAATGTTTATTTTAATTTCGTCCCTCTCGCGCAATCTCGTGATCGACGATCGTAGCGTGTAAAAAAATAAAGCTACCGCGACGGATAACGAAATTGGGAAATAGCCTCTAAAGAACTTGGTCCGATAATTATGACGGTCGCACTCGCTGCACCGCGAATAGCCGCGACGGCTGCGAAAGGTGCTCGGAAATAATAATCGCCCGCGATGCTTCTCGTCATGCACAAAGGTTCGAGTCTTGCTCCGGATAGTTCCCGATAAATTAAGTGCAGCGTATGTGCAGTAAAGTTGCAAGCGCACTCGATGCAAGCTCAATGATGCTTAAGTTACTCGTAGTGCTGGGCCTCGGATACATGTGCACGAATGCGGTCTTCGCGTATTTATGTAAAATTACGCTAAGTAGCGCGGACAGAAATCAACAGTAATCTGCTCGCGTGCGAGATAAAAAGGAAACGGGAAGAAATTGTGACTGTATGTATAATAAAGATGCGCAAAATGTCGCGAAAATCAAATCGGATTTCAATGATGTCGAGTGACACCGCGAAGTCTGATCGAGTCTATGATTTATTTTATATCGAACTTTATATATTGGAAGTAAAGGCTACATTAGCATATCTTGTAGCTGTATAAGTAAAGAAGATATGGAACACAGTAATTCTTCTTGAAAGCGTTCACGACAGCGATCTGAAAATTGTAAAAGTTGCACACGCGTGCAAATGTCCTGCGATCGAAAACGAATCTGAATAAGATCCGCAGGTAGCGTCCGCACATAGTTTTACCCAAGCATGTATCCAAAATACTGTCGAACCATCTTGAGCCCATCACCGACTGCTAGTCAGTTAAATATAACACAATGCCGCACAGTTTTATAATAAATAAAGTATATCGTGGCGTATCAATCTCGAGGGTGAAAACATTACGAAGAGACACCAACCGAAAATAAAGTGTACACCTCTCGATAAATGTCGCATTATAAATTCGCGTTCTTTTTTTTTCTCTTTTTTTTTTGATGCAGAGCTCATTCTGTCCAGATAATTGCTTGTCGATAAAAGGAAAAGGTTCTTTACACTTCGAAGCGTAAATTCGAGAATTTGCATTCTTCTTCCGTCAACATCCGTCGCGTTTACATTGAGCCAATATAACAAGTCACTTTCGTGGAGCCCGTAGCTCAGCCTAAAAAGAGCACTTCATCGATTTTTTTTTTATTCTATCGCTTTTGCCGCTACACAAATGCTACACCTAGCATGCGTCCTGATAGAAGCCGACAAGAACATACTTTCTGTCAATCGTTAAACTTACATCTCGCTCGAATGAATATAATTGAAAACTCATTATATTGCTTATTGATAAAAATCCATCTGGATGTTTAAAGAAAGAAAAAAAAAGAGTGACCTGACAAGCGAAATTTCGTGTCAAAAAATTTCTGTTTGTTATATTCGAGAAAATTATTTTATCAGACAACAAAAATCTCTCACTTTGGCTTTTGCTGCGAACCTAACTCTCCTCATATATGATCTTGGAGTTTCCATCAGGAACTTCGATAGGTTGCCCCTCGCACGAGCGTTAATCTTTCTGTTTTTTTTCTCTCATACGCGGCGAAGAGAGACATTAAAGCCGGGACGAATTTTCTCATCAATTATCTGCTCAGAAATTCCGCCAAGTACAAGCTACTGTACTTCACTTTCCTTATTCCCCTCTCATCTCTCTTATACCTCTACAATACATACCGCGCACGCACACTCGCACTCATCGAAAATCAGTCGTATGTATACTTTTGCAATGCGATTGCCATATATATATATACATATATATACGGCAATATATATATATATATATATATATCCGTATATATATCCGTATATATATAATTATACGTGTGATAGCACGAGACGCTATTAACCTGCCCGTTTACTTAGAGGATAACTTACTTCGGATACGCCATGATTCGAATAAATATCGTACTTAAATATATTAGCGTGTGACTACTTCAAAAGCGAAATATTTGTATCCTCGATACGATCGTATTGGAAAAGTTGCCGCTATTTACATACGAAAATTTCGCACTTTTACCTCTCCGCGCGCATACTAAAATCTATAGCTCTATCTTAAGCTTATATACTTTTGAAAAAGTACACTCGTAAGAGAGATCGACAAGTCAAACAGAATTTACACAAAGAGAAGAAAAGAATTGTGTAGAATATATCGCATTAGAAAAAAAATGCGGTTTCTCGTTCGAACGAAGACATCACGATGCACTTTATTTTTATGCCTTCACCAATATTTCCAATTCCGTCAGTGTTTTCATCCTCTAACGTTTCCTCCGTACAGATAAAAATTTTAATACATGTGTGTGTTTTATGTACGGTATATATTATCGCTATTTCTCGCGCAGAATGTGCTGCCTTAATTTACGCCAAGCTCTTCTCGTGTATTAATATAGGATTAAAAATTCATTTAAAGACTAATAGTATTTTCAGTCATGGAATAATAATAATTATTATTATAATTATAATGTAATAACGAAAAGTAATGATTAAAAATATTAAGTACTGGAATTATATTACAATAAAATGTGTAACCGAATAGACAGTCATTCTATATAATGAGTTATTATGATAGGCTTTTCCACACTGCTTGTCACATTAAAAAATAACGCGTATGAGAATTAATTGAAAAACAAAAAAAAAGATATATATATATACACAGTAATAAAAAAAATGTATAAACCTTAAAAGCAACGGTACATTATAAAAATATTTTCGATAAAAAAATAATACTTTTGCAAAAAAAAAACAAAAAAAGTAGAACAGATGCCTTGATACTGTAATCTCCGCACAATTACAGTCACTAAATTCTAAAATTAATACTGACGACGCGCGTTTTGCTCCCGACCAATTGGAATAACAGTACGTTGAATGCACATCACATCCGTAAAATCGAGTAAAAATTCACAAAGACATCGTTTTCAATGACTAGATACAATTTTTTTCGCGGCTCGGAATCACCGATTAGTGAATAATAATGAAAATCAAAAGTCGGAACTGCGAAGCTCTGCTTCGCGCAATGCGAGTGTGCACGTGTGCGGATATCCGTCGTTCAAAAGAGAAACCGTATCATATGTTACCTTGAATCAAAGTAATACTCGCCTACAGCTACGTCTATTAGTAATAACTAGCGATCGAATACACGAGTTTTACCTTCCTTTTTTTCTGACGCGCATACAAATTGCATAATAATGTACATATATACAACACATAATTAAATGCGCTAAGAGATATTGGTTTCTTACGATCGTGCAGGAGCAAGGCGCGCCGGGACGCGCGATGCTGGGAACCGAAATTTCTTTCTCAGGCGTACGATCCTCGCCCCGGAAAGGACACGCGATAGCGTCCGTCACGGGTATGTGCTATAAGGCGCGAGACACTACCGCGTCTCTCGATCCCTTCGAACATAAAGCATTCTCCTCGGGACAACAGACGTATACAGACGCGTCCAAAGTTTTAAATTAACGACGAGACGGTAATGATAGTAATCGTATTAGGGGAGTAGTAGTAGTAGTAGTAGTAGTAGTTAATAGTAATAGTATCGATGATAGTAATAATAGAGCGGTAGAATAGTTATCGTAATAGCAATAATAATAGTCGTAACAACGCATGATACAAATGTGCTAAAAACCGCAGTAGGACAAAGTTAAAACTTATTATCGCAGACAAAAGATACTTCCCCAGTGAGCTTTCTGTACCTACTCATCGAGTTACTTTTTTTTATTTTTTTTTCTTGGAAAAGTGGCAAGTACTCTGTTCTCGTATTTCATCACAAAGAGATACGGTTCGACGGCGTGAGATGCGTGCCGTCGGTATCCCTTCTCATTTAATATACGGTAAAACTGTATTGTGTTAGACCCAAAAATACTATGCGGGGTTCTTCGCGAGTTTTGCATTTCCTATCGGCTTGTAAGGTGTGTGCATGTTATCGATCGTCGGAATTTGTCATTTTTGCCCCTCGTTTCCCTCCGTGCGTTTTGTTTTCTTCTCGTTATGTTTTGCTTTGTTTCCTTTTGCTTTGTTCTGTTATCTACTGTCTCCGTGACGCGGATTACGGAATGTTCGCACACCATCTGAGTTCGCAATATAATCGCAATTATAACAGTGAGTGTGTGAAATTGTATTGTGATATTAGCTAGGTAACCGGTTTTTAATGCCCAGCGAAGTCCGGTCTGTCAAATGATGCTTACTATTATGTGACATTCTGTAACACATCACTCTGATATACATAGTATATGGATCTCAGGCGAAGGATCGAGTAGATACGAAAATGATGTGTAGCAAGTGCCGGAAGTGCCGGCGACTCTTCCAAATAATATCGATAATCGTACGTGTGTGCGCGTGTGTGTCGTCTCTATTCTACTACGAATGAATAATATGAGAAATAAAAAAAGCATGGAATAGTGTGGGAGAAACGTGTGTGCGCGCACGTTCCTCGTCGCATGAGACACCGTGCTACTACAGAACCCAAATAGCTGGATCTTTAAAACTGAGTATATACATATGCGGTATCATACGTATGAAAAGAAAAGTGCGTTATACAAGAGACATTAATCTCTGTCGGCGGGGAGCGAAATGAAATCCGTGTGTGATCCAAGGCCTGAGAGTTGATGAATGTAACACTGCTTGGCAAATGTATAACAATATTATAATATGATATGCAACATTTATAATCTAATCTTATTTCGGTACTAATTGTTAGTTATGCTGGGCATCCATTCATATCGTAAACGAAAATCTCGAATGTACATTCGTAGTACATTTAACTCGTAAAAAAACATTGCAATCACTTACCAATGTAATAACAGATAATAAAAACCGTTTGTATAATATCGGCAATCTGTGTTTAGTCGCAGTCGTTGCAACTTCCCAGTACTATTGTAAATTGTTGTATGTAAATATATTATAATAATATATAGCTGCATCTGTTTAGTAATTTGATTGTATGTGAGGTAAGGAGCCTGTCATATGAATGGTACGACTTAAAAAGTTACGATTCTAGGGAACATACCCTGTGCCCCCCCCCCCATTTCCTAGAATCGCTATTATAAATCGTACTTATGGAACTATTGTCATCTGTAAAATATAATATAAAAGATCCTGAGTTGTACTGTGTGGTACTATGGCTATGGAATTGTGCGGCAGATATCTGTGCTGGTTTACTCTTTTATATAGGAAATTAAAAAGTAACGTTCAAAGATAATAAAGCGAGCTCTACGATAGGAACTAATTATCACTGAAATCTCACACGAACGACGAAAAAAGATCGAATGTATTGTGCGAATACAATTAATGTATATTAGAAAGATTCCACTACGTTCTTAAACTCAGCTAAGATACATTTCCAGAAAATTTTCCAAAAAGGCAATCGAACATAATAAAGACCACAAGTAAGTATAGGACCCGAAACATTCACAAATTAAAAGCTAAATTTATAGTCGAATACCATTTAAATGTAACAATATATAAATTACGTAATAATTTCTAAATTCTAAGTTATATATAGTAATTGTACAATACAAATAATTATAAAATAAATGTGTCGTTTAAATTTCGCGTTTAAAACGCAAAATCTACAAATCTCCCCATAGAAGCAGCGAAATGATTCTTATGCTATCCTCGTAAATGCATTGAGAAAGGCAGAGTACTCGGAAAACAAATCCTGTTATAGGCATGCTGAGAGACAGGAAACCAGCAGAGACACTGCCTTCTTATTATATATCGTTAAATTCAATCTGCTGCATTATTGCGATCACGGTTTGTTGATAACTGTTAATAATAAATATTATTACTCTGTTGAGCTGTCAATTGGCTGTATATTGCAATGTATGCATGTGAAAAATATATCATGTACGAGCTATGTCATTGCACATTGCGTTGCAATAATAAAGTAAATATAATCCTCTGTAAGAATATAATATTGTTGTAAATATCTGTAGTCTGTATAACACTGTATAGCATTAAATAAAACAACAAGTATCCGGCTGCAGAATTATCAGTACGAGGTGGGATGGCTGCTCCACCATCGGCATTTTTAGTCGTTTCTCTCCCTCATCAGCGTTCATCTTTGCGATGAATAGGCACGGGACTTTATACGTAAACTAGTCTCCCAAACCTATATACACTGTCGACCATCGTATGAGTGATCATTCGGATGATCTGTATAGGCGTCTTGTTACGGACGAAAACAATGAAGTGCGTGACCGTAAATCGGATTTGACTTCTTGTTCTCCGCTCGTCTGACACTTGGTGTGCGACGAGAGAAATTGCGTACGTTCAAACGAGATTTAAAATTATAAATTATATATATCCGTGCCCCCCCCCTCCCTCTTCCTCCGTTGCACAGGATCTGATTATTAAATACGGAATCAGCCTTGTGTCGTAACGTTATTCCTACCTACTCGTCGGTCAACTACGAAGATACGTTTCCTATTGAATCACAAGTTCACTAAACAATAAAAGATAAACTTGATTCGTTACTATATCACAAAATGATACTGGGCGATAGATTAAAAAATAAATAAATCCTGAATATTAGTGATACGTAGCATCGAATTGCAACATCCCACTAGCAAAATGCTTCGAATCACCAATCTGCGCCACCTCTACCGAATAAGCATTATCGCCAGCTTGTGCCTGATACGATCTGAGCTTTGGTTCCGTGGTGCTCCCGCCACCGCTAGCCCCACCTTCCTCGGCGGTGGTGACCCGAGCAGGTGGGGCTGGAGCCGCTAAAAGCACCTTATTATCCACCTGAGTCTGAGCTTGAATCTGAGCTTGTGTTTGAGCCTGAACTTGTGTTTGAGTTTGAGCCTGAGCTCCTCCCTGAACCTGCGTCTGTCCCTGGACCTGAACCTTAACTTGATGCTGGTAGATTTCTTCTTGACGTTGCCTGTCTGCCACACTGAGTTCGTGGAAACTGACCAGGTGACGCTTCAGGTACAGCTTGGTCTTGAATGGCTTGTTACATAGAGGGCAAGTGACACTCTGAGGGTTGTGGATGAGGCGCATGTGCTGCCGCAGGTTGGACAAGTTACTGTACATGCGGTTGCACACAGGACAGGGGCGTGGGTCCAGCGAGTGCAGTTTACGCAGGTCAGCTGCAACACACACACAACTTGCTCTAACCGGTAGCAGCCCACAGCATTGCACGTTACCACAGCATAGCACCACGCCTTGTCACACCACGTATAATATCAAAATGAATACCACCCACCACAGGACAGCAACAACCAGCGAACAACCCTATTTAGCGCTACCCAATTTTGCTGCCTGCACGGTACAGTACAAAAAGGGCCCCCGCAAGAGTATTACTTGCAAGGATGCGATGAGTCAAATATGTTTGGCAGACAAAACAATGGTAATGCAGTAAGAAAAAACATATAGTTTGAAAACAATGGTAAGCATGAATCGATGAGTATGAGAACCAGTAATTAGTGATACTCTTGTTCATATGCTTGTCGCATATCTTTTTTTTAATGTCGTTCCATCACGCAGAGAAATAATATCTCCGGACAGAAGATTAGAAATGTTGTTACAAACACATGTAGAGACACTGATTCATTATTATTATTATGATATATGCTAGCATGATGGTCCTGTTTTCACCAATTATGAGATACTTCGAGTGTTACACGATGTGAAACATACCAAAATTTAGACCTTTATCAGGAAACAAAATGTCTCGAATTCTTCGGCCAAAACGGAAGATACCGACCAAAGTTATCTCGTTTGATTCTTTTTTAGACATTTGCATTTCCAGTTACTTGTTCACGAATAGCTACCTATTTAACGCAATTATAATTGTGCATTAAAAATACGTAGCTTCAATCACGTTGTTTTACATATCATATCGTTTTATTCAAAAGCAGTACAAGCCAATTTGAAAATTCATTACATGTAAATATGGCTTTTACAATTAGTAAACGAGAAAGCAAATGATCATAAGACACAGTCTTCATTATCTTCCGAGCGTTGTCTTTTTAATAAGCAAAATTATTTTTTATCAATTAAACATTTTATCAGGAATAGCCTAGTGTATGTATGTATGTGTATATATATGAATATATATATATATATATATATATATATAATGCATTAATATACGCGTGAAGCAGGAAAACAAAAGATTATAAAGCGTATTGGGATAGGGTATTTCTTTTCTTTTTCGAATATGTACACGCAGGACTTGGTTGTTAACGATTCAAGTTTCCGGGCTATTTCGGTAACGTTCATACAACACAGCTGCTTAACTGCAAACTGCACTCTGTGGACTCAGGCCTGTTACAGCCTCCGAGTGTCAAATGTCTCCTACCGCCTACCAAGACCTACCGAGCTACACACGAGCTTACCATTTCAAACCATCAAGATTCCTTTCTGCTTCCTTGTTTCTACTCACATTTGATATTTGTGATGTAATGGCTAGGTTGTTGCTGTTTGTAATGGTGCTCGCACTACCAACAAATAGTAAACTCTGACTCACCTTGCTGCTCCTGATTCAACTCTGTACTCCCGTGTGATGGACCCGGCATTCCTCCTTCCACGTTGCTTCCTAAAATGAAAACATTGATATGGATCCCATCAATTTAATATTATAAGAAACGAAGATATATAAGAGAAAAAAGTGATCATGATTCAGAAAGATATGGCTATTAAAAATGATTCCGTATTGGAAAATATTTATTAATTTTCAAGAAGAGACAATTACCTTGATAAGATGGTGGGTAAGATGGCAACACTTCCATACCACCATCCAGGCTGAGAAATCCACTGGGCAACGTATTAACTTCCTGTTTAGGTGAGCAATCATCATCACTGCCATATTCGGGTAATTCTATTTTTGGCTGAAAGTATAAAGCACAAGTTGAAAATGAGCGGGAATATGCATACGGCGTATAAAATATTCAAGTATGCATGAGCAAAACTATGCACCATCACACATGTCTAAAATTCGAATTATGTTGTAAGACTATACCTCAACAACATCGAGATCTTTGTAACAATCGAGCTGAACTTGAGGCTCGATAAGTGGGCGTGAACGAGGTGTACTGGTAGCAGAAGGCGGCACAGTGGGTGCTGGACTAGAAATTGGAGGTGAATCACTTCTTTTGCACAGCCTTTTCAGTGGTGGAGGGCTCGAAGGTGGTGGGGTTTTACTGCGTTCGTCGTCAAAGCTTGGCGAGATCAGACCACGGCCATTCGATGCGTGGATGTTGTTTGTTTTCAAATGCTGCAAATTATTCAGCATTATGCATCGTGGCAACACTATGCCTTGATAGAAATACGAGAATGTCAAACGAACCTTTTCGTTGTTGTGCTGATTATTTTGAGAGTCGGTGAGGCCACGAATTTGAAGAGATTCAGCGGTACGCAGAAATGTAGGTAATTCGGCTTGCGAGATATTTACCTCTCCAGCGTACATAAATTCCAACAGCGATTGTAGATGTTCGAACTCTACATCCCGCATAAAAATTATCGGATGTTTGCAAGGATTTGTCTGTAAAAGATAAATTCCATACGGTTATTATCAACGGCATAAGCTCAATGTGAATTACACAATATAATAGAAAGAAAAACCCATAAGATTGCTCAGAGAGAGAGAGAGAGAGAGAGAGAGAGAGAGAGAAAGAGAGAGAGAGATATAGCAATAAGAGCAAAACTAAGAGCAGCTACTGCTCATTGTTACCACAGCTAAATTTATTAGCCGTCATTGCTACCATAATTAAATTAGCTATCTGTTCAGATTAAAATGCTACAGCGAACCATATAGTTGTACCTTGCGACAAATGTATTTTACTTCTAATAGCTAATATCGTCGCTATTGCAGCTAAATTAACTGTGGTAGCAACGACATTATCTGTTCCTATTTTAGCTGCCAACTAGATTTTAGCTCCTATTGCTAATTCTTCCTTCACGTGCCGCAATAAATCGCAAAACGTCCCCATATCGATTTTATTATCACGAAAACGCCTATTACATGTCATCAGATGACATAAAACTCGACGGATCAATCGTATTTACATATTGAGCAGTCTATCTTCCCAAAATGACAGAATCAGCGATACAAATCTCGCAAAATTCAAAGAAAACAGCTGCAATATTGCTCACTGAGACGTAATATCGCGTTGTGTGTCATGTATTATCTGCGTCTTCATATGCACATTTTTATACTGTGCTACGACTATCTTCCCCAGTCCAAAGACGATCCGTATCTTGCATTTGCGAGCATTACATAGATAATTATATTTTCGCATGTATCTTGAAAAAAAGTTGAGATAAATACATAAGAGACGAGAGAGACGCCAGCTTATTACTGCATAATTTCATCTCTGCAGCGCGAGTGCAACCAATTAAACAAACGTACGTGACGAGCTCCCGTTCATTTATCGACCCCCTCTCGCGGACGCGTTAATTGCCGGGCAGCAATTACGAATTTGTTCGGCGCGGTCGCGAAAAAGCAGCGGCGGGCGGGCGGAGGGGGCGAAAAGTACATGCAAATCGTGACGTAACCGCGCGTGCACGATTATGCCTCTCTTTGAAATAAGTCCCGACGCGCGCGACCGAAAAGATAAGACGCCGTAGGAGAGGCCGTCACGTAAATAGGTATTGTGTAATTTTGGAATTATTCATCGCGAGATGAGACGAAGGAAAATGCATGTTACGTGCGCTCACACACGCACACACGCGTACATCCCGCGGATGAGGGGGTGTCAGGGTAGGCGGCGGCGACAGTAGCGGGGCGAGGAGGCGACCAGGTCGGCGAGAGGAGGGAGGCAGGGGAGAGGGCTGCCGCCGCGCCGGAGGACGAAAGGGGAAAAGAAGGATGGAGGGCGAGAGGGAGCGGAGGAGGGGGGACGGATGAGCGGGGCGAGGAGGGACAAATCTAAGGTGGGGAGCGGGAAGAAAATGGTTTTCTAACCTTGAACAACTCCTTGAAGTAAGGGCTGCACGCTGAAAGGACGACCTTGTGCGCCTGGAGCCGCCTGCCGTCGCACGCGAAGGTAACGTCGACGAAGTCCTCGTCATCTCGCAGCGCCTCGAACTGGCTCGTGATGTTCGCCTGAAAGTTATTCCACCGCAAGCAAAACTGCTGCTGGCTATCCGTCATTCTCTTCACACACTCGACTCCCTTCAACAACACCTATGATCACACATGTGGGGGCTAACTTAGAGTACCATACGCCCGTGGGGAAAACTTAACTCTCTCATTACTGTAAAAATGTAAAATGTAAAAAGTGAATCGATGACTGAAGAGGAAACGTACGATATAAATAATGACAATCGATACCCAGGTTGCCAACCGTCGGGCGGAAAAATTCTCTAGCCGGCCGAGTGGCGGCGGGCCGCGCGCCGCGCCGCCGTCATGTCGCGGACGAAACAGCGCGATTTGATACGCTCGTCCCGATGAGGAAGCGTCAAACGGCGTTCTCACTCGTGAAGTAAATTTCCCCTCCCGCACGCACGAGAGAGCTTCTCAATCGACTTAAATGTATTATTTTTTATCCTTCGGTAAGTTATAAAATGCCCCCGCGTCATACTAGAAAAAGTGCAGAAATTCAAAGACGAAACATTATCAGGTGTAATTTGATTCTTCTTCCGTCCGGAATAATCGCATCGTCATTATTTACCAGCGAACGGAGAGAAGTTGATTTGACAGTATTTTCGAAGTCAATTCACGTTTTTTTTTTTTCTTTCTTTTCTTGAGATCACGGAAGAACAAGAACCTGATGAAGGTAGATCTCGACACTACCGGAACGTGAAAAACACCCGCATGTTGACTCGAAACGATGAAACTCGAAATTATGCGTTTCCTTCCGATGTTTGCGGGTCGGAATCGCGAAGCGAACTCGCGGAAGGTTGCAACGAGAAATCCAAAATTACCGGCTCGGTGATTCCCGTTTCAAACGCACGGGCGGCAAATCGCACGAGACTTCGAGCGAATTGTCCCTAGCCGGCGACGCGTCCATTCGTCCAAGTTCGCATTTACGGCGCATCGACTATCGACGGCGCGCGCTCTCGCGCCGACTATTGAAACTGACGGCGGACGAAACGGGTATCGAATTTTCGGAAATAATAAGCTACATGCAAGAATGCTTCGATTCTGCGAGTGCACACGTGCATGCGTGTTGCGTAATTACGAATGCTCGGTCGTGGTATGCGTGCGATATAAAATATGGCCGCGCTTCGACGCGGAAGCGAAAGAACGGGCATGCCCGTCGTCGAATTGTATGATAATTCGTGCAACACGTGTCGCATATCAATGAAAATATTATAATTAGAAGCGACAATTAGAAGGCAAGGCAACAAGCAACGTTATCAGTCTTGAGCGAACGACATGCTGAAGATATACGTTTCTTTCATCGACAAGGGCGTGACTTCCACTGTCGCAAAGTAAAATCGGCTCGGGCGCGTGTCCGCGCATATTTGAATACACACGGACCTCTAATTCTACGAACTTGATACTTATCGGGAGAAAACGCGAGAAAGTTTGCTAGAAAATTTTCATAACGCGTTGAGTCACGTTGAAGGTGTCCGGACCGGAGCTAAGAAACTTTAATTACCGCGATCTCATTCGGGAGAGCGCGTCAAATCTCGACGTTAACATCGCTGATTCGTTAACGTTGCTGCGTGCGACGTACATTTCTCTGTTAAATAAATACAATTATGCATTCGTCTCTGTTCGCCGAAACGCGAGTAATAAGCGCGACCGTGTACGTAATACCCCGTGACGGGGTATCTCACCGTAACGCGAAAATAGAATGAGATCTCGAGCGAGACAGCGAGTCGATGTGCAGTCGACCGCTTTTATCTCGACAATTACGAACAAACAAACGAGCCATGCTGTCATGATGATTTATCGCGAAAGTTTTGCCGGAAAACGCGAGGCCCACGAGTCTTCTTTCTCTCTCTCTGGATCGCGCGAGCCGATCGACGTGAAGTTAGCCGAAGTAACGCGCGAAGGGCCGCTCTCGTCGCTAAGATCACGGCGAAAAGTTGATGCCCGGCATGGTAGGAGCGACGTTCGTACGTTGGACGTGCGCGCATCCCGCGAGGCGCTCATGGATCTCGTAAGCAGCGGACTTTTATCCTATATTTAACGCGCGCGCCTTCGTCGTCGGCTGGCGTGACGCGGATCGCGTTCCTCGACGGTTCGCCCCGTTCTCTCTCTCTTTCTTTCTCTCCCTTAATCTCCGTGTCTCTCTGTGTGCCTATGTGTATGTATGTGTGTCTCTCTCTCTGTCTTTCTGCGTTCGTCACTCTCGGCGCTACTCGTGACTCGCTTCGCGTCGTTCGGTTCCTCCCAGCCGAATACGCGGAGTTTCGTAGGTGCGCGCGGCAGCGTGTCGGTCTCCCTCGGCATCAACGGGGAATATCAGTGATGTGACGTGCACGCGACATCGTCGTCGACGGTACGCGTTTGTCTCTCGTGCGAGAGAATGTGCGCCAGGCATCGACGCACGGTAAGCGATCGAAACGTCGTCCGTCTCGTCCTCGCGCGACGCCGTCCTTTAACCTAATTCCGGCCGGGCTACTCTCTCGCTTAGGGCCACTGCGGGAATACGCAATCGATACGCTGAAGAAGCGGGCCGTGCCCGAGAAGGTCTCGGTAACCGCGTCCATGAGTCTCCACGACGTGACACGCGTCGGCGATTCGCGACGTCAACAGCTGATCTAATCCTCCTGCCGTCCGTCGCCCGAATCTCTCTCTCTCTCTCTCTCTCTTTCTCTCTTTCTGCCTTTATCGCGCGCTTCCACTCGTAATTCGCGAAGGGAGGGGGCGGACAGGTGTACCGGACTGAGTTAAAGCATCTGGTGTAATCACGCGTGCACCTTGTACTTTGCCCCGGGTATCTTTCGGAGATGTAATATTCTTATAACCTAAAAGATGAGCCCTCCACACACACACACACACACACACACACACACACACACACACACACACACACACACTGGATTCAGTAGTGTATTCCCTCCTTCCGTCACCTAGCTCGCTTTTTCCTCGTCAAGCTAGCTTGCACTTTGCCTTATGTTTTGCAGAACTTTCGTAGACATTGTCCAATGACAGTGTGTAGTTCCTATGTAGTGCGATTTATGTAACACTGTTACAGTCACCGTGAGAATCCTAACTTATAGCGAAACGTATAGTCGCGGTATTTATTTCTCGTTGAATTCGCACAACGCCTGAAGCAAGTACAGATTCCTTTGTCATCAGGGAATCAGAACACGGTACAGTGATGAGTAGTGATTAAACGAAATGGCGGAGCCAGAGTGTCAATGATAGGAAGAAGAGACGCGTGCAATCAACATAGGAATTACACAACTTGTCAATGAGCCTTAAGGCAATTCCCCTTGATGGTGCACAATGAAAGGCAGCATGATCTCACTAAACCCAACAGTAAAAACAGCGTTTCGATGAAACATCAACAGACAACTAATCGTATATCCTCTTGTGATTTCAGCACATGTACAATATCTTCCACTGGTGATCGTGGTGGTTTCCCATAGTGGAAACCAAAAGCAATATACTACGTTACGGTGAGTGTACACAGTTGAAATAATTCTCTCAAAAGAAAGCCGTACCTCCTTAGCCTTGCCGGGGATGTTAAAGGTCGGGTGTCGAGCTCTTGCTCTGCGTATGTCACTTGCGCAGAAAATCACATCCGTGCGACAAGCAAAACCGATATCAAAAGTCTTAAACCGTTTTGTTCAAGATGCTCTTACCCGAGACACCCAATGTCCAAAGACTCGAGTTTCCCTACCTCCGTGTGGCTTTACAGAAGAGAACGCAGCGTAATTCGCGTAAGCGCAGTTAGATTAAGCGTGCGTGTGTGTGTGCGTGCGTGTTTATAAGTGTCATGCAACAAAGGACAAATAGGTTCGTACCTTACCGCGGCTCCGAATATTATTCTAAGGCTTCGCGAATGTCACGACCATCCGGCAGAAGCACCATAGAGCACTGAAAAGACTACATAACTATTGTATCATATCAGCCGAGCATTACCTTAATCTTGGTAGGAGACGGACTTAGTGATGTACAGTCCGTGTAGAAAACTCCGACCGTCGATTCTCGGACGTGGACGGTCTTCGCGTGTTATCCACTCGTTCCTTCGCCACTCAGGTTGAGCCAGGTCACTTTTTATCTCGTAGCTTCGATGCGCCTGCCGCGGTTGCAATTCATTCTAAACAGCGTAAAATATCTCACCTTAGCGGACAAACACGAGGCATCTCTCGCATTTATTACAATTCAACGCGCGCGCTCGGCCAAGATTCGTCGACGTTTATTGTACAATTTCATTATGTAATATTAATGTTATTTCACTATGCATTGAATTATTGAGCCTCCTTCCGTTGTTTTTCGATCGGCAATTAGATCGATTCTATTCGTCCGTCATGTTGCGTAGTGAATTTCGCATAAATTAGGCGAATTATGCACGATGGGCTGACACGTGTCGACTCGACGAAAGTAAACACCGCAAACGGGGAAACGCATTGGCTCGTTTGACACGTGGCAATGTTAGCATTAATTTCTTTCTTAATTGCCGAGCTGACGCATGTGTCACGTTCCTTGCGCCAGCTCGTCGTACGATATTATCGGTATTATCGGTAAAAATGATTTTCCACGTGCAACGTAATTAAGTGTCATGGCAGCTCGGAAGCTCTCGCGGCGTTAACGCAAAGACGATTCTAATAACGAAAGTTATATCCCAATAAGGCGGTCTCTCGCGCGTGTAATTAGAAATAATAGCAAACGGAAGTTTACATGTGCGTGTGAAAACCTGTTTCCAGATCGGGGAGAACTCGCGCATGCGGAGCCTTATCAACACGCGCAAACATTATTGGCGGATACAAAGTCGTTTAAGCTGCAGTTATAGCATTGCGTAATTACCGGCAAGAGCGTTGCAAAAAGTTAAACATGTAATTTAGCATACAGATCGATAAATGATGAACGGGCGAGAAGAAGATCATGGTACCGGCCGATACAAAATTATCGGGTACATCGCATCATCGCGATAAAAGCGCGAGACGCACGACGTCTCCGCACGCTCTCGCAGTTTTTATGCTAATTGCGCGATCGCACATTTAAATTTTTCTCGAGCGGTGTGACGTCACTTCGGCCCGGTCGAGGGGACGAATATTCCCCAGCGCGAGATTTCCCCGGTCTCTCTTGTCCCAGACTCGACGGGCTGGCACCCGGTGTTCCAAATTTCCCTCCGCCCTTTCCCTCCATCGCCCTCCCTCCGCATTCGCTTTGCGCACAAAGCGTCGCGTTTTCGACAAAGCGCTTTTACCGAAGATTGTACCGCGCGTTATCGGCGAGTATCCGCAGATAAGGCATGCTCATTTCGCTTTTACATATCGAGTCGACGCACATCCTGCAGAGCTTCTCGAGTTATCCGTGCGAAAGATCGAAATCGCGGCCGTAGCGTATTCTTTCTTTCGCGTCATCTCTCTTCCGCTCGGCGGATGTACATTTCCGCCCGTCCGTCCAGTTTTAAGCCGCGAGCATTGCCGCCAACGCGGATTGTCCGCGTGCCGTGCGACGTCTTCATGTTGAAGTCACATCGGAGGCTCCGTGCGCCAGTGTTCCTCCTCTTCGTCGCCGAAAGCTGACACATAGCCGTGTCGGCTCTCTTTATTTGCCGAGAGAGTGATAAGCGTAATTTGCTTTCGCTGACATCGCGGAGTCGCGATGCTGCTGCGCGGGATTGCGTTCGCGGAGGTGCGCCGCAATTCGGCGCGACGCGTTTACAAGAGCTGCGACAAGGCACAGAGCAACGGCTGCGAGAAAGACGTCGCCGATCTCACCTCCCACGATGGATCTCGGCATACACGCAAGGCGATGATGGTCTATCGACCCGCGGAGGAGCCACTGTCTCCCGTTTTCCCGATAACGTTTGTAAGTTGGAAGAAAGGAAAATGCGCGAAGCCGGCTGGACGCGCGAACGATCAGAATATTGTACGTCCGAACATTCTCTGAGATCCGAGAGTGAATCCGCCGGATGCACCGTCCAGGGTGACTCGTTCCCCGTTTTCCCTAGTTGAATTTCGCCGCACAGCTTGTGGAAGAAATAACAATGGCTGAATTCAGCGGTAAGAACGGCTCGGGGAGCGCTTAGCGATTATCGCTTCCAATTGGCGTGTGCTTCTAGATATCTATCAAGGTTCTGAAAGAATACTCCAGTTACAGGCGATAATCTCACTGAGCTGTTTTTTCCGCTGAATGCAGCCAATACAAAACGAAGATGTATTCTATACGACGGGTATTC